CGCAGCGCATTGCATATCCTCCTGTCTGCTGCATCTGCCCTCTGCGTGCTGCGTGTTTCGTGTCCGGGTTGCATGTTAGGGTGCCTGTTTCATGTTGGACAGACCGACAGGGGACTTGGCCGTCAGGCCACCTAGGGTGCTCCCTGAAACCGCTGCTGCAGAATTCGATCGCTGGAGAAGGTGAGTGTTTCAGCTCACACAGGGCCTTCTGTATGACGGCTGTGTCGTCTGTGACACGACCGATCAGAAACAATCAATAAGGGGCAAGATCTGCCGTCCACCTGATCCCTGGATCTGCACAGTGACTGGTGCCCATGTAAGAGTGAGGACGTTGGACTGGTTGATATATCAGCGAGGGGACCTCAGTCGGTCAGGCAGTCATACAAACAGTCACACAGTCCGATGACATTCATATCTATGGGTACGTCACATCGCGTGGCAGGCAGGCAGGCAGGCCACGTCCAACAACCTATGTGTGTGGACGGGCGACCTCTAACGTGTCGGACGTACATACACACACACACACACTCATGACACAGGCAGAGACAGGCAGAGACAGCCACATGCAGCCATTCATGCATTAGCACGCATGCAGGTGAGCAGGCCAGTCGAGTGGCTGTCGTGTGTCCTCTCTCTCTCTCTCTCGCGTAGTTGTATGTGTGTGTGTCTGCATGTCAGTCAGTCAGTCGCTCAGTCAGTCAGTCAGTGGCAAAACTGAGGGAAAATTCTCATCATGGTAATAATAACAATACGCTACATCTTGCCCTCTGCACACACGTCCATCCGTCCATCCATAAATCCATCCATCCAGGCAGGCAGGCAGGCAGGTAGGTACATGATCGTGTGCTATAGCTACTCCCGTGCAAGAAACTCAGCAAGCAATGGTTGGCGACACAAAAGCGGCAGTACAAAAGCACACGCGCGCACACGCAAATACACAGATACACCCACTATGACTGGAAGAACCAACCGGAAGACGAGAAAAGATGGACCCAGCGATGCGGTGCGGTGCGATGTGATACTAAGGAGTTCCCCTCGTGACGTGAGCTGTGGCATTGTTATTGAAAGCTGACCGACCGACCGACCGACAGCTGCAGAGAGAGAGAGAGAGAGTCCTGACAACTGGACGAACGGTAGAAAGTCTCTCCCCACCACCACCCCACCCGGAGGCCCCGCTCACCCACCCACCCCACAGAGAGGGGTTAGTCAGAGACGAGAAAAAGAGACAGAGAGGGTCGATATGTCGCGTCAAAGGTCGTCAGATGGATCGAGCAAAGGAGGCGGGGTGGTTAACCAGACAGACCAACAGCCGATCCAACTATCTATCCATCCATCCATCCATCAAAACTGCAAAGTATGTTTCCTGTGCCGTGTGTGTCTTCCTTGTCTGTCTGTCTGTCTATCTGTCTGTCTGTCTGTCCATCTGGCTGTCAGTGCTGGCTGGCTGGCTGGTAGTGTACAATCACAAAAGAAGCCAGCCACAGCCACAGCCACACACAGATACGCACACACACACGCGTAAGGTAAGGTGGTGTCTTTCGTTCGGTCAGTCGAAGAGGCAAGAAACAAAGTGAATACACACAAAGAAAGGCTGAAAGAGCAAAACCCACAAGCCGTTCGCCACAGATACAAACCAACCAAAACAGCCAGCAGGCCAGCCGGCCCCTCCTTACTCTCTCTCCACTGCCAACGATCCTCTCTCCCTCCCTACCTGCCCAATCCCTCCCTCCCTCCCTCCCTGTGTGTCGGTGCCGCTCTGTCATCCCCCATGCAGCACTGCAGCCATGCTGGCTGGCGCACTGCTGCTGCCGCTGTTGGTCGAGGACTCGGGCGACCGTGTCCCGCCATCTGATCCACACACACACACACACACATGCACACGCACACATGCCACATGCTACAGAGCACCACGGTTTGTGGCTCACGTCACGTACCAGGGTGTCTGTCGAAGTGTTCTGGTTCAGGTTCCTCGGCCGACGACGTGTGTGACGGAATGTCGTTGGCCGAGGTCCGCTGCAGGGCGGGGTGCTCCTTCTTGACCACATAGAAGTCACGACGGGCACGGAACGTCAACAACACATAAATCACACCTGAAACACATGACATCCATCCATCCATCCAGCGATGTCTCCTTCTCGCATTCATGGGTCTTCCATCGACCACTTGCTCACCACAGGCTTCTAGCAGATTCCAGACGGGGATCAGCAACACGGTGCCGCTGACGAAGACGATGTATCTGGCGACATAGAGGAGGCCCCACTTGGGTATGTTGAAGTTGTGGATGGCCCCGAAGAGGTAGACGAACAGCGTGACGGCCTGGCAGGTGGTCCTGTTGAAGATCTCGTAGGGCGTGTGTGGGGGGGCGGGGATGAAAAGCAGCAGGTAGTTGAAGAGCACGATGAACGGCAAGGCCGTCCACGTCAGCATCATCACAAACAGCACTGATCGACAGAATCGACACACACACACACACACACAGACACACAGATACACATGGGGGTGGTGTGGTGTGGGTGGGCATGGCTGGCAGGTGTGTGTGGGTCCCTAACCTACCGATTTTGGCGTTCCATCTGATGTCGTTTTGCAGTGTGTTGAGCCAGAGGCCCTGCATCCACCTCCGCCGCTGCTTGATGAAATCCACAAACGTGAAGGGACTCTTCTCAAGCATCACACCCTGCACACCGCAGCACACACACACATACACACGCACACACAATTCAACACTGCCCCCATGAGGTGAGACGTCTCTCAGTGTGGTGTGTGTGTTGCCCTGCCCCCCTGCACGCCACGCCACGCACCCTGCAGAAGTCGAATTTGACTCCCTTCTGCATGGCCTTGAGAGCGAATGCGGCGTCCTCAGTGATGGAGTGGGGCGCACCCACGTCAAAAGACACGTCGCACTCGACGTCACTGCGACACACAACATACGACCCTGCACCACACCACACCACAGAGAGAGAGAGAGAGAGAGTCACAGACAAGGATGAGCTCACATCACATACGCAATGGGTGTGTGGTTTGCGTTGCGTACCCTTCATGCCCTGTATTGGGTATCCGATAGTGTGGTACATCCGGAATCTGCAGTAGTCATCACTGACACGGATGCTGTCCGCCATCGTTGTCAACGGATTCACTACACATATCATCAAACCACACACACAGACAACACAACACAACACAACACAACCCATATACAATGCATCGCCTCTCCCTCCCTCCGTCCGACATCTCTCACTCACCGATTTCTTCGTGTCCGTAGAGGATGATGCCCTGCCCCACCCTGGCGTCACTCCTGGCCGCGTTGCGCTTCACCAGCTCCACCACCCCGGCCACACACGACGGCTTTAATATAGTCTCCTCGTCCAAATGCACTATGTAGTCGTACGGGCCGATGGTGCTCACGTGTTTCCCCGCACCCGAATGCACGCTGCTCGTGGTGCCGTTGGTGTGGGAGAGGGGATTCATCGAATTCGATTGGGGGTCACTCCTGTAGGAGAGGGCGCCGTTCATGTGCAGCTGCATCTCCATCATGCCGTTGAGGTCATCGGTTGGCAGGGGGGACGACCGCGGCTGCTGCACGAGGGAACGACCGGGGTACCATTTCGACCCATTGCTGATGCTGCCGCTACTCTCGTGTGACCTCGCCGAAGACGGCACGCTCGGCCGCTCGTATGGCGCCGTGGCTGAGTTGGCATTGGTGGCGTTGGCGTAGTGCAGCGCTCTCGCCTTGAATGCGCTGCCGTTGGGCGGTTGGTAGTCGGACGGCACGATGATCTCCACCACCTGGGTCAGGGGCAGCCCCGCCGACGCACAGAGGCCCTCAGCGAGATCCAGCGGCCGGTCAGTGACGATCTCGATGCACCAATCGAGCTCCATCGCCGAGCCACATGACTGCAGCAACGCGATGTTGCGCGCACAGATGTGCCGGACGAGCCGGGGGTTGTCGCCGCGGGTGCACACGCGGAATGCGACTTTGGATGCGGGCGGGGGAGTGTTGGTGACGATGATGTCCTGCTGCAGGTCGAGAGAGGGGAGGAGGGGGGTGGTGCGGTTGCTGGCACGCTGCTGCCGAGAGGCGATGCCCGTGATGCGCCGGAGAAGGGCCGTCAGCGACGACATATCGATGATGCCACACGGCCAAAACACACCCACTACCACCTGAGCAGAAAGAACCGCGCACAAGACAAGCAGACACTCGTGTGTGTGTGTGTGTGTGTTGCATCCTGCTTCCTTCCTTGCTGCGTGTGTGTCAGTGTCGTTATGACTGACCTGGTAGCAGAATGGCGAGAGCATCACCGTGCATGCCAGCGATAGGGCCGACAGCACACTGTGCAGGACCGTCAGGGGCGTTAGGCGCAGTCCCACATCCAGCAGGTAGCCTCCACTCTCGTTGAACTTATACCCCAGGAGGCAGCAGGACACCAGCAGAAATACACCCAGGAAATATGAAAACGGAGTCGGCTCCATCGCTCGGCTGGGTGCACCTCAGATCCTCAGATCAGAGAGGAAACAAGCAAGGGGAAGAAAGGGCCGCTCCCCGAGCGAGAGGGGAGGGAAGGAAGAGTCGACCAAACTCACGAGTTTTCTACACTGCCGTTGATGAGGTTCAGGGGTGTATGGCACCTTGCCGTTGACCCAGTAGGAGGCGGAAAAATGGTGCTTGACCGGCAAAAGCTCGTTTTTCATTCCAAGCTCGCTCTCCTCTAAGCTCGCGCTCCTCCCCTTGCCTCTCCTGGGATCTGGAGGCACTCGGGTCCTGAGCCTGGTCCTCGTGATGAGCATGATGTTTCAGGGTGAGTCGATGATGAAAAACACGCCGAAAAACTCAACAAACTCGCATTTCGTCTGCGTGTCTGTTCAGGTCTCGTGCTTAAGCCGGGCGAGACGAAGGCAGTGCCTGGGGACAGTGATGACATCTTTGAGATGCAGCAGCTGTGCCTCGACAACCCTACCGATGGACGAAACTACCTCTGTGTGGTCGAACGCAAGGACGGCAAGGACACCAACTACAGATGCGCATTCCTCGAGAAGGGCAAAATCGAATACGTAGCAAGCACACACACACACACACACACACACACATACACGCGCGAGCACAGGCCATTGATGCATCGCCCGCCCGTTCCTTTCTTTGCTGCAGACTGGCGTGACTTTGTATCTGCGTGGCGGTGCGGGGCTGAGTCTGCACAACTCGGGCAAGTCTGCCATTCACGTCTGTGGCTCTCTCTCGCCGATGGTCAAGTTTGCGCCCTTTGCGGGCGCGGGGGGGGCGGGGCTGGCTGATGAGGGGAAGGCCCTGCTGGGCATGATGGCCGCGAGGAGGGCTGCTGCTGCTGAAGGAGAAGAAGACGACGATGACGATGACGACGAGGATGAGGATGAGGACGAGGAGACAACAGAAGGTGCCTCCACTGAGACACACGCGGCGCACATCATCGTGGCGCGCCCTGCTGTCTCTGAGTGTTCAGCGATCAAGAAGATCATCGACCAGATGCCAGACAGAAAGGGTGCGACCAAGGCCAAGGCCAAGGCAAAGCCGTCACTCCCCACCCCCAAGCCCAAGGCTGCCAAACCACAACCTCCCCTGGCTATGGGTGGGTGGGACAATCTGCACCCATAGAGAGAGATGGATGGATGGATGGCTTGAAGGATGCGTGTGCGATGCGTGTGTGTGTTTGTGCAGATGAGGATGAGGATGAAGACGAGGGCGACGAAGGTGAAGGTCCTTGCGCAAGGGCAGATACATCCAGGGTGCCAGGTGCTGCACGTGTGTGGTGTGGTGTGGTGCGGTGTGGTGTGTGTATGCAGACATGGGTGTGGCTGTCCAGAGGAAGGGCGGCCCCGCGGCTATGGATGAAGACGAAGATGAAGATGCGGAGGATGAAGAGGATGAGGAGCCGCCAAAGAAGGCACAACCAAAAGCCAAAGCCCATGCCAAGCCGAAAGCCAAGGTGCCGACACGACGTACAACACAGAGAGACACACTGCCCAGAGGGCATGGCAGTGCTCTCTCTCTCTCTGTGTGGATGTATGTGCAGGAGGCCGCCAAGCCCGCGGCAGCGTCCATCAAGCGCAAGACCGAGGGCCAACCGCAGCAGCAGCAACCACAAGAAAAGAAGCCAAGTACGAAACACCCTCGTCACGCCACGCAATACACGCCATCATCCATGTGTGTCGGCCCCCTGTTATGCGTCCCAGGGGTGGCTGCTGGTGCTGCTGGTGCTGGTGCTGCTGCGGCAGGTGGTGGTGATGCGGAGCAGCAATTCGTGAGTGAGTTGGCCAACTTCATCGGCAGCCAGGACGGTCAGAAGGCCAACATGAGCCTCCTCGGCGCAAGAGTCAAGAAACCCGATGGGGTGAAGGACAAAATCAGCCAGATCATCAAGGTAGTACGTAAGTTTTGTGGGCACGTACACGCGCACATGCAGCCATGCAGCCGTGTGTGTGTGCTCTTGACATTCAGCGCCACACGGACATGTTTGTGTTGTCGACGGACGGGAAGCAGATGGTCTCACTCAAGAAATGAGATGGGAGGGAGGCATCAACATGACCAAGAGCGTATCTGAGTGGGCGTGTGTGAGTGCAACGGCCAGCATTTTTCCTGGATAGTTTAATCTGCACGTCTGTCTGACTGACTGTCTGAGTGTCTGTCTGTCTGACTGTCGGTGGGTGGGTGGGTGGGTGTATGGGCGTCCAGTCAGCCGATGGAATTCATGGCTGTACCAGCTCCGCTTGTCTAACCATTCATGGGGGCGTACCGGACCACGGGGTGGACTCTGGCTGGGGTGCAACGTTGTGTGCGTGGGTGCGATGCGAACGTGCGAGGACCGACCGGATCGACACGTACGTGAATCGATCGTCAGTCGATATATTAGGACACAAAATCATCGAGTGGTAGTATCGACACATGTACACACGACACATGGCAAGAGGCCAACGTAAGCCACACCAGCCTACCCGCCCTGCCCACCCCCCTCTTGTGTCTGGTGGCCCTCGGCCGCTGCTGGTTGTGCCGCTGCCCCCGCAGCAGCAGCAGCAGTGGTTGGGCTCTGTTCCTGTTCCTCCAGCTCATGATCGACCTTGAAGTAGGCACCCTGCAGATACTCCTTGCCTGGCACGACACACAGAGAGGGAGGGGGCGTGTCTGTGTGTGGGTGTATTCGCCCACGTGTCTTAGCCAGGACCAACCTATTTCGTATGGTGTGATGGGTGACTGTCCGGGTTTGGGGCAGTAGTGGCTCTTGAGGACGTGGATGGGGTTGCTGTTGAAGTACGTGCAGGGCGTCACGGCCTCTATCTGCTCAGATGGTCACACACACACACACACACACAGAGGCACAGTGCCGGCATAACCTCGGTCCGAGTGGCTGACCTCCTTGTAGGTCTTGCTGCACGGCTTGTGCACCATGTGGACCACAGCAGGAATGACGTAGTCTATCACGACCAAATATAACTGACACGACACCAATCATCACAGCACACAAGCGTGTCTCTTCCTCCCTCCCCCATTCGCTGCCTTCATGCCTGCCTCCGTCCCTCCCGTCCCTCGCGCACAAAGATGTGTCCGAAGAATGCGAGCGCTGTGTATCCGATGATCTCCCCGGCGTGCTCCTGGAACATCCGCGGCGAGCTGCCGAGGAAATGCCGGAAGTGCCAGTAGACCAAAGAACCGCACAGCATGCCCGTCGGCACACTCCACAGACGAATGACTGACAAACACACAGAGAGACATGATAATCCGGAAAGCGGTCTGTGTCTGTACGTGGTCGTGTGTGTGTGTGTGTGTGGTTTATGCCTGAGTTGCCGAGTGCTCCTGTTGAGAAGTACGTCTCTTTGTGGAGCCGCAGGCAGAGGAAGAGGTCCTTGATGTAGTGGTAGAGGGCAAACAGCACCAGGAACAGAAAGATCGACCACGCGTGCTGCGTCACGAAGAACAGCTGCACCCATACATACACACGACACACACCCACAAATCATCGCTGCTGCGTGTGCAGTGCTTTCTCGTACCAGGACGAGGCACGTTGACGTGTTGATGATGAAGTCGCCGTACCTACGACGGCGGACACACAGGCAAGGGGATTGCTGTAGGTATGCATATCGTGTCTGTGTCGGCCGTACTGCGACGAGAGGTCAATGTACACGCACTCCATCAGCTTCTCCGCCTCGCGTGCCGTTATCTGACACGGAACCGCCGACGTCACACCCACGGGGCCCTCTCTCTCTCTCTCTCTCTCTCTCCCTTTAACCTCATGTCTCACGTACCCTTTGTTTGTGGAGCACTTGCCATCTGCCGAGGAAGAACGGCAGCCCGTGTATGACGATGGGCAGCGCCAGGTAGGGCAGCACGAGACACCCCGGGATGAGCAGCCCCCAGAACTGGTCGGCTATGCCCTTCTCCAGGTCGGCCGTAGCGGCGGCCTCGTTGGTCGATAGGGCCTCCTTCTGCTGACCGATGGCGGCAACCACACATATACCCAAGTCGAACAGCATGTTCATCTGACACACACAGAAGGGCGGGCCACGTGATGTGATGTGTGTCGCCCGTGTGTCGTATGTATGTGTTGAAAGTACTTCGACGGCGAGGAAGTTGAGAACGAAGCAGTAGATATCGAAGGTGTCTTTTCGCCTGAAGCCGGCCCACCGAGCGATGGCGAGGACGACCTCGCCCATGACGGCGTTGCCGCCCGCAATGATCAGACCCATCGTGCTGTCCTCGATGATGTTGGGATTCTTGCCGGGCGTCTGATTGATTTGACAGAGAGACATGGAAGGATGTACTGCACTGCACTGCGACATCGATGCACGTACACACGTTCTTTGACAGGTTCGTGCCTGGTACAGTGAGATGACGTATGCGGCGTAGGGGAGGTAGATGAAGAGCGTCCACATGGAGATCGCCACGAGGATCATCCACACGCCGTTGATCAACTTGATGATCTGCAGAACATGTTAAACACATCAATCATACACACATACATACAGGCAGACGGACACATATTGATCCATCGATCACCCACCTTGCTGATCGGTGTCTTTGAGAAGCCGTCCCACAAGACGTCCTGAGGCTCGCCGTCGTAATCCTCCAGCTGCACGTACCCATGCAGTGCAGCCATCAATTGATTGACACATTCAATTCACACATGCATGCACCGGCTTATCTTTTTGTGGCACCGGCTCGCTTACCGTGATGGCGTGTGTCCCCCGGAACAATTTCTTGTCTGCTGACGCGCCCGCTGCTCCCTTCTACGTGCAGCAAGACATCCATTAGGTACCACAGGTTATCGATTGATGCGCCAACCAATGTCTCTGTCTGTCTGTCTGCCTGTCTGTCTGTTACGTGAGTGCGATTGAACTCTTCGAATTGCTCAATGGCCTCTCGGCTGTCATTCTCCGTCTGGAAGATGACAAATGCCTCACCAGCGCCTTTGAGACCCTCCAGGATGGTGACGATCTCGTCCCTGTCGGGCAGCTTGCTCTTGTCGTCGTAGTGCGACCCTTCGCCGCCCCTGTGCTCCTTCAGTAGTGCCTTCTCCGCCTCTGTGCTGGTCTTGCTGCCGGTGTCTGCGATGAGCGTCTCGGTACCTGGCGGCGGCTTGCCGAGCTCCTCGGTGTATGTGCCCTCCTTCAAGTCGGCCTCCTCGATGATCTTGTCGCACAACCTCTCAACCTGAAACGATTGTCTGTGTCAGTCAGTCACTGACTGACTGACTGACTCTCTCACCAGGCGTTCGTGTCCAGCGTACGCGTATGGCACCGACACGCCCACGATGCTCAAACCGAGCGCCTCCTGGAAGTATATCTTCAACTCGTCCTCGTCGATCGCGTCTTCTGGGAGGCCGTGGGCTCCGAAGCAGATCAAAGAACATATGTAGGACTGAGACGGGCTCATCCTCCTTTCTTACACGCAGCAGAAGTCGGCAAGTGTGTCGTTCTCCTCGTCCGACTGCTTCACCAGCCGCAGCTGGTAACCGTGAAAGAAAAACGTCAGCGGCTGACCAGACGACCAACAACACGTAGAGAGATCCCAGTCGCTTCTGAACAATGTGGTGGCGTGATCTGTGTGTCTCTCTCTCACAATGAGAACGGCGTAGAGGGAGACGCACAGGTAGTAGGACGCCATTGAGAATTGCTCGACGACTTTGTCGGGCTGGTGCAGCTCCTTGTCGGACAGCACCTTGTCGGTGCACTTGTTATCCTCCTCAGCCAGCTCTCGCTGGAAGTCGGATGTGAAGAAGATAATGGTCGTGCCCACAAAGAAGATCGACGCACACACCGTCAGAAACACCACAAAGTTGAAGTACATCATCAGACCAACCTGCATGAGCCCATCCATTCATCCATGTGTGTGTGTCATTTGGGTCTCCGCGTGTCCCTCACGCACCCCGACGATGTTGGTTTTGTGCAAGAAAACACAACGCAATCGCTACGGACAGTGAGTGAATTGGTGGTCGCTTTCTCACATTTGACGAGGGGCCTCGGTGCGATCATGGGGCATGTCTTGGGGCAGGTGCGCTTGCCCCGCTGGAAGGGCTCCCCACACGTAGCAACCAGTGTGAACCGCCGCTCATTCGCGGCATCCACACGCAGCAGAGACGTCGCCTTCAACTTGAGTGCAGACGAAAGGGCCATCGACGTGAGATTTCCCTCAATGGCTCCATGCGGAGAGATGGTTGCCTCCATCCGCTCGTCACTGCCCGGCTGCACCAGTCCCCGCCGCAGTCTGCCCCCGAGCGAGTAACTCTCGGCTGTATTGTGTCTGTCATGCAGATGGATCAGGAATGCTGTCAGGGCCGCTGCAATGATTGTCCACCGCTGCATGCTGCTGCCGCTGTTGGGCTGTGCCACCCGGAGCCGGGAGCGGCCAGATGGCGAGGGAGATGGGAGCGGCATCGAGCAGGCATCTTCAGGCTCCCTGTTGCTGGGCGGCTTGCCTTGTCTGTACTGCAGTCGCAGCGGGCGTCGGCGGACACTTGCAGTGGACAAGTGCTGCAGGGAGTCCATTTGTGCATGGAACAGAGTACGATGAGGCAAGGTCCGGGAGCTCGAATCTCAAGGGGACGAGTCAGGGAGGCCAGCCATCGGGGACGTCACTGCAAACCAGCGAAAGAAGAAGAGAAGAAGAGAAGAAGAGAAGAGAACTTAAGTAAGGGGAGAGAAGGGAAATCGGGAGGGCGCGGGGCCGCAAGCTCTCGCTGAGTTCCCCGCCTTTCGCCCTCTATCCCCCTCAACGATATGGCGCGAGTAGCTGGTGGTGCTAGTGCCCCGGCGGTGAGCACCAGCCCAAAAGAAAGTGCGCCTCAACTTCCTGTTGAATCCCCACGGTTCCAAGCGTCGCTTCTCCAGTAAGGCTCTACCAGCTCAGTATTGCTCCAGAGATGGCGGTTGGTCTGTTTGCAGGCTGGGGATCAGAATAGAAGAGCTGCACAAAAAGGCGCCTGGTGGGTGGGTGAATGGGAGAATGGACGGCTAGCGGGTGGTAGTGACACTCTGTGGATGACGCATGTTGTATGTGTCTTGCAGAGGACTTTGCCAAGGGTGGTCTGAGTGAGGACCTTGCCCGCGAGAAGTATGAGACATTCGAGAAAAAGCGGCTGGCCCTCATCCGGCAGGTTATGAAGCACCGAGAAAGAATAAAGCCCCAGGACGTCAGCAAGTCGTTCAAGATACTTGAGTCCCCCTCGATATCCACAGCCCCAGAGCTGCTGGACGCCGCGCTTGCCAACACAGCCTTGATGCCGCACAGGGGCCCCAGATGGTCGCAGGAAAGCGACTCACCGCGGCACGTGGCCAAGAGGATGGCTGCGCAGGGCACGGCTGCGGGCGACAGGCAGGCCATGGTCTACCTGTCCAGTCGACGCACCGCCAGCCAAGTCAGCCCTGTGGACCTCATCACGCCCGAACAGCAGGTCAGACACCGCCACACACACACAAATACAGTGGATGTCAAGGCTGTCCCTTTCCATGATGTGTCGGTGAATGGTGCAGATAGCGATGCAGGAGCAGGAGCGGTTGAAGCAGGTGGCGCTGCAGCAGAAGAAGGACATCCAGAAGTTCCTTGACGACCAGATGGCCGCACAGCAGGGCGAGGAAATGGCCAGACAAAAGGCTCTACAGAACCTGCAACGAGTCGAAAGCCTACAGTACGCCTTTGGACAGAAGGAGGGCAACAAGGGCTTATCCGCTTCGTCTGTGTGTGTGTGTGTGTGCGCTGTACAGTCAGTTGCGAGCCCAGAGGGTCCAGGAAAAACAGAATGCCGCCGATGCCAGACGGGAAAAGCGCATGGAGGAGTGGAAGGAATTTGAGGCACGACGCCGCAAAGAAGCCGCAGAGCAAAAGGCGAAGCTGAACAAGAAGAGAGAGCAAGGACGCAAACTCAGAGAGGTCCAAAGACAGCCCTTTGTCCGACCCACAGGCAATCCCTTTGTCTGATGGGTACATCAGGCGCGTGTGAATCAGTTTGAGGAGCTGCATCGACTCAGAGAAGAGAACGCAGAGCGGCTCCGCGAGAAGAATCGGGAGTACCAGCGACAGAAGGAGGAATTCGCCATGTCGCAGCTGGGCATTCAAGCGCAAAAAGACCAGATGCTCGCACAACGACAAGCAGACACATTCACATCGTATGCAATCTACCCCTCCCTCCTCTCGCCCACTCTCACAAGCTCATGTCTCCTCGCATCCTTCTCTGCAGTCTGCAGGCGCGTGCAGAGAGCCGGCAGCAGTCCATGGCGGAGAAGCGACAGCGCGTCAACGAGCATCTCGAGAATCTGCAGAAGGAGCGGGAGGAGGCAGCCAGGCAGCGTCATGAACACGCCATGCGTGCCAAGGAAGCCTATGAGACGGGTCTGAAGCAGCGGTCGGAGACGACGCACGGCAACAGGCAGCGTCGGTGGGACAAGAGGAATGAGAACGCCAAGAGGCTGCGAGAAGAGCTTAACAGCAAGGCGAAGGAGATGCGGGAGCACATAAAGCAGCTCGACGCCAACGAAAAGGACCTCAAGTCGAGAATCATGCAGGTATCGCCATGCGTATGTGTGTGCACTATATGTGTGGCCTGGTGTGTGTATGGTATGTCTCAGAACGTCGATGTCAACAGGAGCGTCCGATCGATGCGCGAGGAACTGGTGCAGCAGAACCGCGAACGACTGGAGAGACAAAAGGTCGGCACACAGACACACAACACTGCCACTGCCATTGACATCGACACAGTCTAGGGTCCCTGCCTATCTGCATATATGTGTGCAGGAGTACAAGCGGCAAGTTATGCTCACCGAGATGCTCGATAGGAAGAAAAAAGCAGAAGAGTCAGGGAAGAGAAAAATGAAATGCAGTCGGGCCATTCCATTCTTTCCACACTTGGTGCCTCTACCTCTGTTCTGTGTCTTTGTGCAGTGCTGCTGCGGCCCGCGAAATGCTGCGCAAAGCGCGTGAGATCGCCCAGCAGCAGACACAGGTGGTGAAATCGACGGTCATGGAGAAACTGGGTCGACTCAAGGGCGAGACATCGCCACAGAAAGTCCAGGTGGGTCAGATCTCCTCTCGTGTCACTCACTGCGTGCATGCCATCGATGGATGAGACATACCAATACACTGCACTGCTTGTGTTCAGGCGGTGTTGCGCTCACTGGACAGCGAGATGGGTTTGGGTTTGGCGCTGACTGTGGGTGAGGAGGAGGGGGAAGGTGCCATGATGGGGGCCACGGGCAAGATGGACTGATTGGCTGGCTGATGGGGTGTGTGGTTGGTGCGCTACACAAGGAGGAATGGGGAATGGGCGTTGTTGCTTGCACATGGAGTGAGTGATTGAGACGACCCTTCATCCATCACATATGTACTCACACAATGGTCCCGTCGTCCCCAGAACTATCGATCTGTGAAGGTCATTTTACGGGTGCCTACACATGAATGCATACAGAGTCTTCAACCGACTAGGAATGGCGTACCGGCGGTGCAAGGGCTCTAATCGCCCGCCTCAGACGTATATGCGTTTTGTGCTAGTAATAGGAGTGCGGCAGCGGGGGCACAGCCGTTGAGCTGGGGGACGGGCCGCCAGCCGAGACACACACGACGGGCACAGCGACAAATGTAGCTGAAAACACACACACACGCATACATACATAAGGAGAGGTGGTGGCGACTTGTCTCTTGAGGCGTCTCTCTCGAAGAACGTACACATGGGACGAGCACGACCTACACACCAGCACCACCCGAACAGTGAGTCAATCGTCGGTCTATCATTCATCGCACTTCACTTACCGACTTCTTCTCGGCCATACATATGTCGCAGTCAGTCGTCTCCTGCAGCCTGCACACATCCATCAATCAGCCCGTCCATCCATCCACGCAGAAAGACACATATCTACAGCGTGAACGAGCCTTCGCCATCCATTGCCCATATACCTCACGCACCTCCTGAGTGTCTGGTCCTTTTCCCTCTCTAGTGCCTCCTTCTCGCGCCGAATCGCCTCTAGCTCCATCCGCAGGGCCTCCACCTCACTGACGGCCTCAGGGACGGGCGGGGGCAATGCAGACGCAGATGAAGAGAAAGGCGTGGGAACAGAGGCAAAGGCACCACTAGAGCTAGATGATGATGGAATCAGCGCATCTCTCCCGGGAGGCGTCTCCCGCGACACAATAGACCACCTGGGGGACAAGGCAAGCTCCAAAATGCTCTCTCTGTTCCGATCTCCTTAGTTCCCACCCACCTCTTGGTCCGAGTGTGGGGTGGGGGATCGGGCGCACTAGGCCGATCCATATTTCTCTCCTGCCTCTGCTGCATCTTGCTCTTGCCCCGCTTCCGCCGGCCCACGGCGATGAAAGCGCTATCATGCTCTGGAGTCTCCAGGGCCGGGCTGGGAGCAGGCTTGGCATCGCCAGAGGTCGGAGTGGGGGCGGGTTCTTTGCTCTCTTCGTCTGCCGGGTCTCCATTATCGTCCTCGTCTCCCTCGTCTGCGCATGCCGATGACGCTGCTGCTGCTGCGGCCGGTGTGTCGTTCAGCTGAGGGTTGGGCCCCTTGTGTCTGCCGCCCTTCTTGTGGGGCCTTGTCTTGCCCTTGACGCCTTCGTCATCACCCTCCAGCTCGGCCGCTACTTCGTCGGCTACTCTGTTGGCTCGTCTCTCGATGTCGTCAAAGAAGGCCAACAACTGACACGCATCACCACAGAGAGTGTGTGAAAGGGACGACGTGAAAATTCTGCACGCACCCACCTCGGGCGGAAGTGTGAGCTGTGGCGGTGCCGTTCCTCTGCCTTTCCCGGCGGGCGCTCTGGCCTGCTGGCGCAACTTCTTGACGGACTCGGCCTGCAAAATGGCCGTTATGACGGCATTCTGCCTCGCGATGCCCTTTTTGCCTTTCCGGGCCGCCACACGATCCCCGTATCTGGACAGTGAAGGGCACACACACAGACGGATGAGACAAGACAATGTTGTAATGCTCGACGTCATTGAATGCTTACCTGACAAGGGTTGTGAGTATGTTGATGAGATAGGGAGTTGCGTCACACCCCACCGAAGTCCGGCCACAGGCTATTCTGTACGCCAGGTCACACAACGCTATACCCAACCCATCACGCACGGCAGCCTGACACAATGCAGCACATGACACGAGCACACATGGAGGTGAGACAAGCAATGTGGCCAGCGTGCCCCGCCCATCCGCTCGCCTCGGCGTGTTTGTCTTCTATCTGTGGCCCTGTGGCGCCAAATATGCTCGTGGCAAAGGATATGGCGGCTGGGCTGTACCACAACTGCTCGTCGGCCACGAGGGCCGACAGAGTGGCGAAGAATCCCGCCTTGACAACCTCATCGCGATAGCCGGCTTCTACAGAGACACACACCAAAATCATGCATGGCATAGAGACATCCAATGGACCGATGGAGGCATTGGTGGGGGGGCTACCAGCGAGGGATGAGATGTAGTGGTACACCCTGGATATGGGCAGTGCAATGGAATGGAGTGTGGGGAATGGCAGCGGCCTGGGCGTGTCTGCGGACGGTGGCCTCACTATGGGGTACGCGGCGGAACCCCTTCTCAGCACCATACACAGGTTCTTCAGTGCACCAGGCACGTGCATCAGCCGGACTGGTCCATTTGGAATCGAGCAAATCGTAGCGGCAAGACGCTCTTGCTCTGCACCACACATACACATACATGCTTAGCGAGAGAGTGATGCGGCTCGGTGTCTCGGTATACCCTTCACGTCATTCATGACTTTGATGTCAAATGCCATGAGTGAGGTTGTGTAGCTGAAGATGTGTCCCAAACAGATGGTGGCGGCAAACTTCTCACTCTCGAAGCCCGCACTCGAACCCAGCACGTTGGACAGCTTCTGCACGTTGGGGTACACGTCCTTCTCCAGTACCTCGCGGCACTCAGCGCGCTGTGCGTCCGTACCTGACCACACACAGGGAAGGATGGCCTTGTTGATGGCGGGATGGCCACGTCTCCCCACCTCCTAGGGAAATGGTGCTGACGGCCCCGAATATGTAATCGAGCACTTCCATCGATCGGGCGTGCAGGCCGGGCTGCTGCGGGTCTGGGCAATGCACCACCACCTACAATGACACAGGTGATTGGTTCGTGAGACGAGACGGATGCATTTGTGGGCCAGCTGTCAGACCTCGACGGTGGCGCTGAACAGCTGGCCCAGCCATATGGTTGGGGGCCCCAACGTACTGACGGTGGGTAACATAAACATATGCTGGACGAATGTCAGCGCATAATCGAACAAGGGGTCATCGTCCTTGCGGCGAGCGACTTCCTGCATCGCCTTGACCACCAGCCGAGGGTGATTCTGGCTGATGTGGACACGATTCGCATTCACAGGTGTTTGGAAGTCGGTCTGCCCGTCACACACCGCAACTGTGAAGCCACACACATGATGAAGTCATACATTGCCCTGGGGGCGTGCGTGTGTTTGCGTGCGTGTGAGATACCTCCCAGCATGATCCATGACTTCTGTCGGAAACAGCCGAGTTGGGCCCTCTTGTCTTCCAGCCGTTTCACTTCTCCTCCAGCGGCGCCAACAAGGAGGTCATCGTCGAAGTCAAATTTGTCGATGAACGCCGCCAGCAGGTCTATCACGCCGGTCGCCGTGGCAATGCCCTTTTGAAACAAGGCCGCGATCAGCCCATCCTTGGCCTTCACCCCGACAAGGTAGGCATCGACGAGGGAAATGATGGTGGTGGCATCTTCGACAAGGGGCATCGTGCCGCTGACGAATGCGTCATACAGCTTGCGCAGAACCCGCTCCTCTGCATCAGCAAAATACACAGTCACAGTGTCACAATGCCCCACTGCACTACTAAGGCATTGCACTGACCGGAGACGTGGGGGTTCCCGAAGAGGAGTGCCTTGAACCTCTCATCGCGGACGGATGCGCTAACATCGAACGACGTCAGGACATGTTTGGCAAGCCTCGTGAGGGCCCCTTTGGAGGTCTCAGCGTCATCGGACAAAAGGCCGTCCTCCGAGAGCACGATGCCGAGGTCGATACGAGACGCCTTTGACCTGGCGCTCATCGACGCAGCAAAACCACTGGCAACGGCCGGCTTCGCTCACGAGACTGTGGGCCGGAATCGCGCTACCCGGCCCCCAGTCTCGAGAACGCAGAGCCCACGCTTCCGCGCAGCAATCCAGCGTACGTCCAGTATCTCGAGTCGACTGTGTCAGCGCCACTCAATCTGCACTGGAGAGCAATTGCTGGGGGCCATGTGCGAGGAGCTGGAATGTACTATTATTTCCATGGGACGGCCGTTTCGTGAGGCTCAACGTCGGCATGACGATGACGGCATCGCACGGATGGATGCTCTCGCTGGGCGTCTTTGTCCTGCCCTCCTTGTCGGTTCCTGTGGATGTCAGCTCCCCTTTCCTGGGCATCAACTATGGCGACCTGATGGCCAAGAGCATCGGAGAGGGCTGCACGCAGAACATCACACAGACTCCTGACGAGCAGACAAGAGATGGCTTCCTCGCACGCCTCGCGACAGATGATGCACCGGCGTGTCTCACAACGAGCATGGCGCTAACCGTCGTCAAGGAGGAGGGTTTTCGACACCTGAAAGTGTTTGAGGAGAAGCTGGGGCTTGACGAGAGCTTCTTTTCCCCCCTGGATGCGGGCGACCTCGTGCTGACACGCGTCAGTGAGGTCTTCCGCGATGCTGATGACGCGGCGCACGTGTGGCTGCAGCTGCCCAACGGCTTCCTGAAGCACATACGCGACAACTCGTCGTACGCCCATGACATCATTGCGCTCATCAAGGTGAGAAGACAGATAGGTCAGCAGCTACCAGCTGCAGCACGACAGGCTGATTATATCACCTGCTGTTGGTATGTGCAGGAGCATGACGACATAGTGGATGTGGTGATTCTCGGCAACGAGCCGTTCCTGTTTCCCGAGGCGGCCAAGGACGAGTTCTTGCCCGCATACGGGGTCTTCAAGGAGGCTGCATCACAGGCGCAGCTGGATGCCCATCTCACCACAGTGCTGGCCAATAGTGTCATTCAGGCAAGACGACACACGCACCCGCGACTGCCATTCCTGCACCTTCACACCCTGTTTGCTTCTCTGATTTCAGAACACCTTTCCCTCGATCGACGCAGCCGAGATGGTGCCATCCTACTTGGAGCTGCTCGAGCCCTTCCTCACCGACCTGCGCGCCTCATCCTCACCCGTCATGGTGAATATATTCCCCTGGTTCGCCTTCTCTGGCGCCCCTGTGGAGGTCGGCCTGCCTTACGCGCTGGGCTATCGCGACCCCCCGATTGAGGTGGACGGGCGCAACTACACCTTCATCTGGGACGCACAGTATGACGCTGTGGTGACGGCGCTCGACAAGGCGGGGTTTGGGGACCTGCCACTCGTCATTGGCGAGACGTCATGGCCGTCCGATGGCGACAACCCGGTGTATGTCAACAAGACAACGGCACACATACACTACGCATCGGTCAAGAAACGGGTCCTGATGGACATCGGCACACCCAAATACCCAGGTACACACACACGGACACAGACACAGATGGGTGGCACATCTATGCAGCCAAGGATGCGTGTCTCCGTCTGTGTATCAGGTCGGCAGATCCCCGTGTTTTACTTCATTGCCTTCGACCGGATGAATGCCACCTCATACGGCTTCCCGCCCGTCGAGCAGTACTTGGGTCTCCACTCAGAAGAGGGCGTCGCGAAGTTCGACATCGGTAGTGTGGCGGAGTGGGGCGAGGGGGACGAACAGGTCATCCCCCACATGCCCAACAACTCTCTCGCTATTTGATAGCAGGGAGGGTGGATGTGGTGCAAATACTGCGCTGTGTTGTCTGCATTGGCTCTGTGTGAGATGAAGGTTATCTGCATGGATGTATGGCCGTCCCTCCGTGTCTGCCTGCCTGTCTGTCTGTCTGTGTCTGTGTGCTTCAATGGTTACTGGTCTCGGTTCATTTTGTTGCTCGCGTGCAGGTTGTCAGGTCTAGGTCTTCTTCCATGTGTGGGTGGATGAGTCATGAGGCAAGCTAGGTAGGAAGGTGTGCGTTCGGCAGCCCACGCCTCATGGCGGGTGAACGTTGCATGCTTGATGGAGACATCAAGTACGCGTTTTGTTCATGACACAGGGCAGACCGTATTCACCCGTCCCAAAGGCGGCACGACGCATTTAATCGACACACCGACACACGGCGGTCCTACACATATGCCAATGAATGAATGAATGAAATGGTCTAGGTGTGTGTGTGGCAACGACACACCGACGAACAACAGCCCAAACCCAACAAGACATTGGCTACTTGTAGCTGTTGAGCAGTTTGCGAATCTCGTCGCTCTGCGCCAAATCCAGTGGAGTCCTGCCCTGCATAAGACACACAGATGTGATGAGACACAAGCGACGAGTGGCTTCTTCTTGCTTCCGTCGAAGAAAGGATCCAAGACTGGGGGCTACTGGGGGCGGCGGGACTGAGAGCGACCCTCACGAGTCGGCGACCTCGTGATCTGTCCCTTCGTTGTCCACGGCCTACCTACGGCCTCAGCAGAGGTTGTTTGCCAGAATGCCACCGATGGAAGGCTCAACGAACGACTTCAACATGAGAGATGGCCTCAGAGACAGATTTGCATGCCCCGGGACGTGTTTCTGTGGACGTTGGCTGGTCCGGAAGGTGACCCAGTGGATAAGGTGAGGGCAGATGAGAGGGGAGAGAGATGAGACGGTTGGGGAATGATGGTCATTGGTCCCTGCTTCTTTGTCTCGCTTCCTCAGAGGCGGAAACGGCGCCCATCAGCCAGGGACGTCCAGCGCCTCTGGCTCCTCAACGGGTCTGTTTGTCCGAGCACCTGTGCCACCATCCTGCGCAGGTAATGGATGGATGAACCACACTCACACCTCCTCTCTTACGGGGGTATGATGTCTGTGTTCAGAGATAGGCGCCATTGATCCTACTCCTTTGCTCGTCAAGGACACTCGCTCCCCTTATGGACATTCCAGTCACGGACGGCATCAAGGCCTTCGAGAGCCATCCTCATCGGCCATCGACTCTCGCTCGACAAGTGGAGACGGCGTCGAGCTCTGCAACTCACGAGACGGGCTGCTTCGATCTGTGCCACCATCCCATGTCATCAAAGAGCCCACAAACACGCCGGCCCAGGCAAGTATCCGGCCATCTGACGCAATCACACCCTTTCAGCGGCCTCCCGTACCATCAGCTGCAGACGACCTGGAGGGAGATGAGATCACTTTGCCTGCCATGGATTGGGTGGAGGAGCAGCCGCGTTTGAAGATCAACCTTCCAATCCCGCACCCGCAGTCGCTGGCGTGCTTCTCAATGGAGGACGACAACCTCGAGCTGCCCGACGGGACTGTGCGGCAGCGAATCAAGCAGGCCATCATCGATGAGCGGGAAGAGGATTGGGAGTTCGATCGGTTACTGAACCTTCACCAAGAGGCAACACTCACCGGCGTCGGCCTGCTGGAGTGCATGGCCGTCTGCCACCATCGGCCGGCGGTCGACAAAATGTGGATGGTGCGCCGGTTGGTTTGGAGGGAGCCGTCATTGGTGAAGGAGATCGACACTTCCTCGCGGAAGTCGCCGCTGCATTTCTTCAGCGAGAGGCCCTTGCTGTGCTTTACGGTCTGCCAGCGGGTTGTATTTGAGCTGCTCATTAAACACGGAGGGATGGATATGGTCAAGGTGCGCGACAGAAGCGGCAACACCCCTCTTCATACGGCCTCCAGCTCCCCCAGCAGTGACGCGTCTGTGATGGAATGGCTGTGTCTCCACGGGGCGGCGGAGATCATCAACGCACCCAACCGCCACGGCAAGACCGCTCTGCGCCTGCAGGGAGAGAACGAGAGAGGCCGGCGGTGCCTGCTGAATCGAATGCTGGTGCTGTTCGAGAGCGGGGCGACGCTGACGGCGGCTGGCGTGAGACAGCAGCTGCAGATGCCGTTGGGGGGGCGGCGACATGGGTGGGAGGCGAGGCTGATCGACGCCTGGGAGCATTTTCTCGAGCACCGCCTCATCTACCTCATCCTGCTCGACATCTACCGAATTCTCAAGCCCGTCCGCCTCAAGATGATGACCATGACGCAGCAGGTGTCCGCCATCGGCGCCCCGCTGCCCGATGACATCACTCAGCTGATCTTCGACATGCTCGTCGTGCCCCCATCCATTATAAACATCGGCGAAGAGCCGCTACGTTCTCGCATCAACAAGCCGGTCAGCCACTTCATCGACTCATCGATACGGCTGCTTCGAAGTGCCCGACGAGAGCGCAGGGCACTTACCAACATGCAGATCACATCGGGGAGGGGCTTCTTCGCTGTGGGGTCGGCTGCTGGTGAGCAGATCACCTTCTGCAAAGTCATCAACACAGCAGTGAGACAGGAGGCGCAGCGATGGGGCATGACGCTGACTCGCATCAAGCCGGCCAACCACAGTACGCTCGCGTGGGGGCAGCTAGGAGCACTTTCAGGGACGAACTTCGCTCACCTGAATCTGCACTGATTGATGTGTCGGATTGGGGGAGGGAGGGAGGGGAAGCAGGCAGGCAGGCAGGCAGGCAGTGCTTACGTTGTAAGGCCTGCCACGGGAGAGGGAGGGAGGGAGGGAGGGATGGGAATCTGGCAGGCAGTGTGGTGGAATGCATCCATCCATTCACCCACCCATCCACCTGCTGCTTTTGTTTGACCCATCTCTCTAGCTGTCTGGCTGTCCGACTGTCTGTCCGACTGTCTGTCTGTCTGTCTGCTTGTGTGTCTGCTTGTGTGTCTGCTTGTGTGTCTGCTTGTGTGAGTGTCTGTCTGTGTGAGTGTTGTGCACAACACAACACAACAGATCCATCCATGCATGCGCACAAGACACACATGCAGCGGTCACTTACTGATTCACAAATGCGTGTGCCTGGGTGGGTCTCTCTCTCTCTCTCTGTGTGTGTGTGTGAGTGTTCTGCTTGCTGTGCACACACACACACACACACACTCACACACACACACAGGGGTGCATCCCTCCCCCCTGCCCTCTCTCTCTCTCTTCCCCTTGTCTGTGTGTGTGTGTGGGTGTGGTGTGGTGTGGTGTGGTGTGTCTCGCTCGTGCAGGCACTGCATGCATCCATCTCTCTAACTGTCTGTGTGGCTCATAGGGACATGAAGGGAGGGAGCGAGGGAGGGAGCGAGGGAGGGCAAGACGTGTGATGGGTGGATCATCTTTGACATGCATTGCGCAGTCACATCATTGCAGGCGGTCGTTGGGGGTGAGTGCATGGGGATGTCTGTCGGATTGTGCGTTGTGGTTTTCTTCCTGTCGGATTGTGAGTGACACAGGGTGTAAGTCTGTCTGTGGATGTGGTTGGTTGGGAGATACAGCCAAGGACAGCCAGAGGGGCAGGTGTATGGGCGCAAGCAGCTGTTCGGATGGTGTATGGGGAGGAGGGAAGAGACAGGCATACGCACGCACAGACAGACAGACAGGATGCAGGCACAGACAAGAAATCGACTTGATTGTCGTTTGTGGTTGTGGCTGGATGGGACGAAGGGGAAGGGCAGGGGCAGGGTGAGGGAAGACAGGCAGTCAAAGACGAGCGGTTTCGTAGGTGTGTGTCAATGAAGTCATACTGTACGCATTGCGACTTCTTAAGAAGCATTCATACGAGAGTCCCCGTGCAGTAAGCAGCAGGCACGCGCATACAGGTCAAGCGGGATAATCACATCAGATCGATGCATCCCAGAGGCCCGCACATCTGCACTGACCATCCAGGAATCAGATTCGCTGCGGACATGCACTCTGCTTTTCTCTGCTTGTGGGCTGTGTTGATGGACAAAGATGAATTTGGAGGGGCCCGCCTCAAGTGTCACAAGGGGTCGGTCACTGATGCGTTCAGATGGGTCGCCTCGGCAGGCAAGGCGGATCGCTCAAACCTCTGAGCTCGCAGATCGCTGTCGTGAAACCGCTCTCTCTCGCTGTCAAAAACACACACTATGATTCTGTGATGATCCATCTCTGCTGACTGATGAAGGATGCTTGCTGCTCGAAGAGCGGGTCTTGTCCTTCAGAGCCACGGCAGGCCCGCTGTGGCGACCCCTGCGGTCTTATCCAGTGCGCAACGCGCCCCTTTCAGCTCCTGCCGCCCTTCCCGTCAACCATTCTCTCTCACCCCGCCTCCCGAACGACACGCGTCGGCAGTGAAGAGCTTTGCAGACCATCGGCGGTTCTTCTCTGACAAACCATGGAAGATCCAGAAGCGAAGCGACGCCCCGGGGTTGCCGAAGCCTCCCAAGAGGCCCAAGATGGCGGTACCGGCCTCTCCTGCTGATGGTGCATTGACACCCGTGGGAGCCACGCAGGTTGGCGTGCCTGAGAGGGGCTTCACGCTCGGTGAGTCGGCTGACGATGAGGGGGAGGGCGACAGCTACAGCGGGCCGAGAGTGCGGCGCGGCAAGGGGAGCAGTCGGCAGCCATGGCGGCGCTTTCTGTTCAACCGATTCTTCTTTCTTTTCGATATGCGGATGAGCATCGGGGAGCGCTTACGACAGGTACGTAGGTAGGTGCATCCGTGTGTGCATGGAGAGTCAGTCACTCCAGTGTATGTATGTATGTTGCGTTATGTGTGCGCACTGCAGTGGCGTGATGACGTCGAGGAGTGGTGGGAGACGTTCAGCCCTCTGGGGGCGCTCACCAAGTTCATTGAGTACATCATTATGGGCTTGACCGTAGTGGAGCTCGCCGGTCTTGTCGTGGTGCTGGCGGCCATCGCCATCACGGAGGCAGAGGTGCCAGAAGAGGAGGAGGAAGACGACTTCTCTGTATGAGCTGTGTTGGTCGGTGGATCGATGTGATGTCATGTGACGATGCATTACTGACACATACATGGGGCTCGGGGAGTGACTGGACACGACACATTTTGTTGTATGTGTATGTGGGTGGGTATGTGTGTCTGCTGGCGATGACCACACGCATCAGACCATTCTCACGTTGAAGGAAGAGTCAGCTCGGGTCTGAATGGCCTAAGCACACGCACATGTTCACATACGGAGCTCATCCAAGGCAAATGCAAGTCCACATGCCATCCATCCATCCATGCATCTCCCGCGGGGGGACGAAAAAGACCTCTCGCTTTCAGACACAGAGCTACATCCACCGATGTCATGTCATGCGTCAGTCAGAAAAAGGCCGACTGAGAGCGCATCACGGAAACATTAAATCTCCATCACTACCTTTCTGCAAGTCTGCACGCCATACCATCATCCACACGTACAACGACAAGAAACACATGAGATAAACAAACAATAAAACACCCCTCCCTCCCTCCTTCCCTCCCTCCCCTCATAGCTCGATTTGCGTATTGGCTTTGGGTTGGGCAGCGGAGCGCTCCTCGAGGTAGGCAACAATGTCGGCCGACACGTCCGTGCGGCAGCAGATGGACGTCATGATCTTCATCGCTTCATCGCCATACGGGCTGGGCGTACCTGATCAATCGATGCGGCGAATGTGTGTGTATGGGTGTGTAACAGTTGCTGGCTGGTTGGCAGCGGCAAGTGCTTACCAACAGCGTCCCATGGCACGATTGAGTCGTACTCCTTCTGAAAGCCGGAGAGCGCCGTGGCAAGGATGCACTCATCCGTCCATGCACCCACTGCAGACACACACATATGCAGAGGCTGTGCATACAGTACGTGTGAGTGTGGCCCTACCGGTGACGATGGTATCGACGCCCAGCTTCTGCAGCATGCCGTGGATGATGGAGTATCCGTCCTTGTCCATGTTGCTGAACATGTCCAGGTGCTCTGACGGGACTATCATGTGCTCCTCTTCCTTGGTCGGCGCAACCTCGTGCATGATCTCAAAGCCATTATCCATCCAGATGTACTAGAAACACAGGCGAAGGTCACGTCCAGACCACTGTCATGTGTGTCTGGCTGGGGTGCTGACGTTGGGGTTGAGTTGGCTGTCGGTGCCCGCATCTCCATAGAATCTGTCCATGCTGCCGGTCTTGCCGTCCTGCCACCGCCTGGCCCAGTAGGACCACACCACGGGCATCCCAGCCTTGCGGAAGGCCGCCAGCAACGACACGATGTTGTCCACACTCTCCTTCCTGTCAGCACCAACACGAGAGCATCCTGCATGATGTGCTTGATGCGCGTCTGCGCGCGGCTTACGCGAAGAAGTCCCTGTACTCTTCCTGTGTGTCATCGATGAGGAGAGCCATCTTCCTGTCGGGCTTGTCACGCAACTGCAGTGCACCACACACATACAGAGCTTGATGCCCATTCCTGATCTATCCGTTGCGTGTGTGCTTACGTACGTTCCATGCGGCTCTGTATGATGTGTACCATCTCTTGTTGGGCATGTCGTTTTTCAGCGGGGACGTCACCATCTGCCCATTGCACATCTGCACCACCCACACAGCCGCCACCAAGGCGAGGCTGACGCTGGTCATCTGATGACTCATTTAAGCAGGAGGGAAGCGCGACCGCGGCCTAGAGCCCACCGAAATGGATCACTGAAGCGCTGCCGCCTCGCTTTTCCCGCTTTTGCGGGCTGAGCTTGCAAATGGCGATCCGGTAAACTTACTTGACGGAGGAACGTCCGATTCCTGCGTGTCTGGTGTCACTTCATGGTGATCATGCCCGAAGTGCCCGTGTTAGACAAAAAATGGGCAGCGCAATCGTCAACGCATGGATGGATGGACGCAGACAGGCAGGCAGACCAAAACTGACGGAACACTCGCACAGCTTGGCTGCTTCTGACTGACTGGCGGAGAGGGAGGGGGAATTGAAACGACTGACTGACTGACTGACACGTACCACACTCACTCGCCTGCACGTGCGCCTATCAGTAGTACGTACGTATATGTATGCATACGTATGTATGTGTGTATGTATGTACGGACGCACATGTACATGCAGCCGCTGCATGTGTCCAGTGTCGATCGCATCATGTCAGTGGTCAGAGTTAGGTTCATAGCGTTAGAGCTGGTGCGTACGACGCATCATGTCAGTCAGTCAGTCAGTCAGTCAGTGTTTGTCTGTAGGTAACCACCATCCGGCCATGCACCCAAGCGCTGTCCTCTTTCCATCCGTGTTGGCACTTCCTTCTTCTGTCTCTCTCCCTCTCTCTCGTCTGCTCTGAGCCCATCCATCTGGATGCGGGTCAGGAGGACTACCTCATCGTTCGTTGACACCAATCAGTCTGTTTGTCGGCATAGCTTCATTCAAAAAGAGGCTCACCGAGTTCCCTACTTACGACCTAGCCGCCCGTAAGACACGCGCACATCCACACAGGCAGGCAGCCAGGCAGGCATGTGGTAGGAAAATACAGCAAGTTGTGACTTGTAAAAGGTCACATGAATTCTGACGATGGACTGCTCTCATCATGTCAGCCGAACACGGGTGCTAGTCAGTCATCGTGTCCGATACCCGCCCCACCCTACAACGCCCCGCCCCGTCCGCCCCCATCTTTGCCTGTCCGATGGTGTGAGTGAGTGGTGTGAAAAAATGCCGGCCTAGCGTCACAAATCGCTCCTTGGTTCTTGCGATCGCGCCCAACAAATGTGCAGACATCCACACAGGTATACACAGCCACAGCGACAGCAGGCATCGGAAAACGGATGGAAAAGGAAGGCAGAATGAAGGGCGGGGAAAACCGACCGCGTGGACCTACTCTTACGTATACACTACACATACACGCATACGCACACACAGCCTGGCCAGCTGCACGCATGCCGCCAGCCAGGCAGCAGCAACAAATGGTAGCGCTCACAACACAGCCCAACACCAGCAGCAGCACACCCTCACACTGCGCCCATAGATACCCCCGTGTGCCGCACTGTGACACTCACGGCATGAATCGACCGCTCGGCTGTGTTCGGGTGCTATGCGGTTTGCGGAAAAAGGGAGTGAGGAAAAAGACGACTCTGCGCACTTGCTCCTCGGGGCTCAACGGCTTGCTTGTTCACTCGCATGGCATCACACAGACAGACAGACAGACAGCACCATGACATAGATCATTCACTGCCGCTCGGTGCACGCACACGGCCCTCATACGCTGTATATTGACTGCCTCTCGCGTTGAAAGCAGACGAAAATCGGACGGACCCTCAGGTAGAAACGGAAAAAGGGGCGTGCACCGAGCCCTCACTCGCACCCCGATGCAACCAACCATTCACTCCACACAGACAGACATCACCGCAAGCACTCCGTTCACTCGCCAGCCAGGCAGCAGAAAGCCATCCATGAAAGGCGCCAGGCACACGACGCACTTCTCTCCTCTCCTTTTGACCCACTATAGACGACCGACCGACCGACAGACGGACGTGCGTCTCCCCCGCACCCTCGGAGGGGAAAACCGGGCTACACTGACTGGCTGGCTCATGAACGAATGGGTGTATAGGACGACCGACAAAACGATCATGCGGCTCATCATCGCCCCCACACGGGCCGAAAAAACGACGCTTGCGGCACGGCACACACACATCCATCCCTTATTCTCTATCTCGCTCATCTGCCTGCGCATCGTGTGTCGTCGCTTCCTTTCAGTCGGCGCGTGAGTGCGTCCATTCCCCCTCGCTCCTCTTCCCGCCATTAACGGCCCCGCGTGTCAGGGGCTGTGATGGCGGGAAGATGAGGTCGACCCAACGGACACTCTAACACACCTCATGCGACAGACATGAATGACAGAATGAACCGTATGTGCACGTCAGGTGAGTGCTGGCTGTCTCCATCTGATGGATCGATGGACGCCCACACTGCACCCCTTGGGTACTGGAGAGTGTACTCGCGCCGCTCGATCGACCTACAAAAGACCTACTACATACTCTGTACACACAGGCAGGCAGGCAGGCAGCCACAAGGATAGCATCCGAGTGGTCAGTCAGTGAGCAAGCAAGCAAGCAAGCAAAGCCTAGCGGAGCCTCGAGCGAGCGACTGACGAATGAATGAATGAACGGACGAATGAAACCAGACATGATGACGTATGTACGTACAACACACACATGGATGGGATGGGTGGAAGGATGCCCATCCCAGGCAAAGCCACACACCCACTGTATGTAAGCCGCACGCACGCACGCAAACAACGCATGATCGCCCGGGAAGGGAAGCCCCACACGAATATGCAAACTGAGTGAGCGAGTAAGTGAGTGAGTGTACTCCTCCTTCCATGTGCTCACTTCCCGTCACGTCAAACACGCACACACACACACCCAGACGCACATAAAGAGTATACATGACGGTGCACATACACACAGGCAAGCGCACGTCGTGCTGAAGAAATGGCAGAGATAGCATACAGTCAGGTTAGGTTAGTCAGTGAGGGAAGGTATGGTAAGGTATGGTAAGGTGCAGTCTGTCAGGCACTGGCGACGGTCTCGTTGGCTGGGTGTCGTCCGTGGTCCAGGAAGTGCACGATCTCGGCCACAGGAAACGTGTGACAACACACCTTATCAGTCAGTCCAACACACACACACACACACGAAGCAGTCCACACCGGGCTTTGCCTCTCTCAGGTCGCTCGCTCGGTCACCGAGTTGAGAATCTCCAGTGCTGATCGGCCGTGAGGCGTGGGAGTCCCGACGGCATCGCGCGGCACAATGACGTCGTACTCCTTCTGGAAGGCCGACAGAGCCGTTGTCAGGATGCACATGTCAGTCCACGCACCCACAACTAACACACACACACAATCACACACACACCAGCTCAATCAAGCGCAACACAATACGCCCCTCTTCCCTCCCTCCCTGACTGACCGATGACGGTGTCGACATCGTTGCCCTTGAGGATCTCCCAGACGACGGACTCGCCGTGCTTGCCGAGATTTGAGAACATGTCGTAGTGGTCGCTGGCCACCGTGTTGTCCCACTCGTGGCTGTAGTGCGGCGCCACCTCGGGCATCAGCTTCAGACCGTCCGCCTCCCACACGTACTGATTGCATCACATCACACGGTGGGGTGGGACAATGCAACCAACAGACACACACATACATACATACATACATCTGTGTGTGTTGTGGGTGCGTGCCTACGCATGGATTTGCGGAGCTGCCCAGGCCCGTGTCGCCGTAGAAGCGGTCGACGGACCCCTGTCGGCCGTCGCCGTATGTGCGGCTCCAGAACGACCAGATGATGGGGAGGTTGTGGCGACGGAAGGCAGCCAAGATCTTCTGGGCCTGCTGCACGGCACGGGGGGAGAAGTACGTGCGGTGCTCCTCCTGACACACACAGACAGACAAGACACACAGACGGACAGAACAGACACACAGAGACAGGCAGGGCAGAGGGAGAGATGCACTCATGTCATGGCTTGGTGTGCTTGTGCTTGTGCATGTGCATGTGTGTGTCTATTCTATCCTGTCAGTACCATACCTGCATGTCATCGATGAGCAGAGCCATCTTGCGCTTCGGGTTGTGCTGCACACACAAACGAGACCCCACCCAGAGAGAGAGACACACAGCACAGTCAGCTGGCGCATGTGCCTTCCCTTCTGCCATACCATCCCTGGCTGACCTCGAGTTCCCAATAGGGCGAGTACTCCTTGTAGAGCGTCCGCTGCTTGATCATGGGGAAGGTCACGTGGGAGTGCTCGTGGATGGGGAAGTGCAGCTGGCTCACGCACAGCGGCACCGACACCACCACCAGCACCAGCACAGCTGCTGCCACAAGGTGCTTCATCTCTCTCTCTTGTCTGATAAGGGTGAGTGACTCAAGCTTGTCAAAGGCAGGGGGAGGGTCTCGGATTCACGACAGCTGAAGGCCGGAGGGAGGAGGGCAGATCTGATGAGATGGAGATGATGGGATGCCCCGAAAGAAGCGCGAAGGAGAAGGATTCTTGCTGTGGCGCGTCTCGTCCGATCTGGGCCAACTGGCTTGAAGAGTGTGAATTGGCCTTCGTTGCGGACATCTTCCGCATGGACTCAGTTATGTTTGTCGTATTGTAAGAGGTCAAGCGTGGATTGAACGTCATCATGCAATGCACACGTGACTGTCTCACGCATCGACGTGAGTGACGCAGTGGTGGCCGGATGAATAAAGGCACATGCAAAGCAGAAGATGAATCAGCATGACCGCACCTCACCTTGCTGTGCTGGTCTGTCTGTCTGTCTGTCTGTATGTCTGTCTGTCGTCTATGTACACGCACACTCACAGGGTAGCACACCACAGCCCAGCAGGCGGGCTGCTCTGCTCTGCTCTGCCCATAGATGTGATGGTGATGTGGGGCGGCACAATCATTCTTGATAGATAAAACGAAACAAAGGGCATTTTCCAGCAAGCATAGCATGGCATGGCATAGACACTCCGCCTGGCCTGACTCATCACATCACACACGCACCGCACCATCCTGCCGCATTCGACCAACAACTTGGATGCGGTTGGCCATCAAGAATACCTTCGTATGTGTCCCCCACTTCTTGACTGAAGAGGAGTCAACATCCGACAGCAGGCACAACGGCAAGCCACACACCCAAACTGCTCGCGCACGGCAGGCAGGCAGGCAACGAAACCCAATCCAAGCCAGTAGGTACACTCACAGTCACGCACGGCCATCCCATCCACGAGACAATGCCATGCCATTCATCCCCTCCCCTTGGTAGAAATATCGACACATTACCCACCCCACCC